CCTACTACTGTTTGTTTACCTTCTTCCTTATACATGTAACAAGCACTCAACTTTGGTCCTGGAAAAAGTTATCATTTCCATGGACAGTAAGTTTTTGTGAAATAGGTTCGTCTACATTGCGTTGTTGTGTCCCGCTTGTCCGCCTTCGCTGGAGCACACGCACGCGCAACAACGTCATTATGGATTCCCGCCAAATAGTAAGTATATCATTTCAGTGATATGGGGACAATTGATTCGGTGGATAGTAATGCCGATAAGAGTTCAGGGAATGAAAGTACCGCCGAAATGATACATCCATAAGTTTTTAGAGATCCTTAAGTCAATATAGGTATATTAAATAGTTTCGGTTTATGATGTAGGTTCGATATTTCGGGTGCAGTAGTATTTCTTTCTAAAATATCTAGTTTAAAAATGTATATTAAAGTTAAAGCGGACGAATTCGTTGGTGGCCGATAGTATTCCTAATTAAATATATAAAAGTGTAAAAAAATCAGTATTATTCATCTGCACTTGACTCGCTTACACATGATGAGTCATCAGAATGGTTTCTGAAGGAAAACGACCATATTGGCTTGTTTCTGTAGCTAAAGATCTGTATAATCCATGGTACTCTTCAAGATCTTTTTTCTTTGCTATAGATTTTTTTTATAAATAGGTTCGACAAATGACTCCACCAGAGGTTAGGTGACGGAGGAGTCTAGACGCGAAGATAGCTGGTACAGCAGTATTACTTGCCAAACCAGCTATCCTCATTTTGCCGGCTTGCAGAATTGCTACTTCACACACCTAAGAGGGCAAAGTAATCCATTTGCGGATAGTCTGACAAAGAAATGAGTTACTAAATTTCTTTGTTCACGTTGGAATAGTGGGAATAGTAGTTCACAGTAAGTCGGTGACAACTTAAGTCAGCGCGTGTAGACTTCTGTAGGAAAGGGGAAGGTAGGTTAAGGGAGAATAACTCCTCAAAACATGCGCCATGGTATAGACGATAAAACGCGCTTAATAACGCCACATCACGGCGTAATGGAAGAGGCTCGAGGTGTTTAGTCACCTGCTTATCGCCAATAATGCGGATTGCGCGCCGCTGTAACCTATCCAAAGCATCAAAAAAGTACTTGGCGGAGCCATCCTCTGGGGTGCGAACAATATTCCACTCAAGACCGTACTTACGCACAGTTGCTCAGGCGTGAAAAAACGTTAGTTTTATCGTGAACGCGCAGACCTGGGCTTTCTTGGCAATGAACTCAACCAAGTTCTTGGTACCGCATTCCGAAATGCGGTCCAAATCTTGATTGAGTTTAATGACAAGATTCTCCCGTTTCTCTTTGGTCTACCTGTCCAGCGGCTACGTTGGATACGCAAATATCCCGCATGCACTGTATTATCGTCTGCATAGCAATGAATATTCTCAAGAGGAATTAAATCATTGAATGCAGCAAAAAGAGTGTAGGGGATAGGACGGAGTCCTGAGAAACACCGGTATTCACTGACATGAACTGCGAACTACATCCGTCGCCGTCCGTTGACGCTCATGCAGGAAGTCAGCCACTCAGGCACAGAATTGAGTAGGCAGACCGTATCAAGGAAGCTTGGAGAGAAGACTTATGTGCCAGACCCTATCAAAGCCTTGGCGATGTTAAGGCTGATAGCCAAAGACTCACCTCGCTTATCGATAGCCATACCCCAGATATATGTCAAGTACGCTAGAAGGTTACCTGTCAATCGATTAGGTCTATCCTCTTTTACCTCGCCTACCTAGTTTTTACTTTATCTAGTAAAATTAAAATATCTGGTAAAATTCAAACAGTCAAGTCAACAACAGTCAAAGCCAATTACAGGATATCCACAGGATATTTACTCTAAGTGTCTACATAAAAATGAGTTTAAATCCAAAACTTGGTTTCAGCGGTAATACATTTACAAACTTAAGTGCTTTGAATGGGTTTATTAGGTTTTAAATCAAGAATTTTGGAAATAATTTGCAGTTATTCTGTTTATTCATTAGCTATTTCAGGAAGTATGCGTCGTAGAGCATAATGGGTTTTATCTGTAGATGCGGCCTAATGAGACGGGTCGATTGGTATTATAAAAGTTCACTAGCGAAAAAGTGCAGATAATCGGTTTTGGCACTAAGGGGACGATTTACTAAGTAATAAACTTCTCGCTTTCTAAACGCGCTTTGTTCGGTATTTTGAAAATGTACATATTAATAATTATAATTAGTAATAATTACTAATAGGAGTAACAACTAATTAATTCTTCATTAATAATTCTTATTAAAAATAATGTAAGGAAATTTATTTAAATTCAAATAGGGAACCCTTCTACTACAAAGGCGATGTTTTTGGCTGTATCATTTCGATGGTCATTTTTTACCATTTCGGTAGACAATTTTCATTTCAGTGGACTGCCGAAAACTCATCCTTAAATATTTCAGTAAGTGGTGATTGTTGAATTTGACCCGTAGGATCGTTTAAAAATGGAAAAAAATAGCATTAACAATATATTTTCTGTTTTTTATTTTGCACCTTTAATTGCATTTTGTGCAAAAACTATGGGAGATACGCGAAAATATGTTGATACCTTTTTGTAGAAGATTAAATTTTCTACAACTTTGTACTAGGAACTTTTTCTATTTTTGCAGCCAGTCGCGAGATATTGACGAAAAACTCGTTTTTGCACCATTTCGCATTTTTTTTTTCACCCTTTGCCGTCAATGCAGCACCCTGCAATTTTAGTATATTAATCTACGAACCCTTGCGGAAATTTTCGCGTTGGTTGCAGGTGATCAACTCAAAATGGCAAAGTTAAGCCTTCATTGACTGGACTACACGCCGACTAAACAGTGAAATTAAAGATAGAGAACTTGCACTTTTAGGCCCATCAATTCCCCATCCTGAATAATGTCTATGTCAAATTATACATTACAAGCAATATATCAGACGCAACCTGAACAACAAATTATTCGCGCGTGTACGCATGCTACATACACACTATCCAGATTTAAAAAAAAAATTAAGTATTTTTTAATAGTTGCACATTATTGATTCATAGAACCGTTTTTTAAGCTGGAATCGTGGAGTTCAGCCGCCCAGAGCAGCTAGATTTTTTTTATTTCTATAAACTTATTTGTCTAAAAATTGTAAACTTGTAAAACAATTAGTTTCTTTTCCATAAACGAGGGTATTTTTACGCAACGCAACATCCACTCTAAAAATTACTGGTACACTGTATTTACTGCCACGTAACTTCTCTGTGCTCGTGGTCGTCAGACATCCCTGGTCAAAGCTGATTTTGGAATGATATACGCTATGCGTTAGTGCGCGCGATTGCCACACTATGTTAGATCCACTCAGAAATGGAGTCTGGTTGGTGAAGTGCGGCGCGCAGTACACTCACCTGCCGAGCTTGTCGTCATTGTTGCCGTCGTCTTTGTCCAACACCTCAATATCCAACGTTTGTCCCAGTGCTTGCATAATGCGCGCCTTTAGGCCCAACGCAATCCGACGCACACATACATTAGGGAAAACAAAATCTATTTTCACAACTAATTACTTATTTAATATATTATTCTTCATAAAAAAATATAAGTAAAAAAAATGTAGAAATTGGCAAATGAAGCACACGAAAAGTTGATGTAATGCAAGCTCAAAGGTATTAATAAAAACATAAAAAGAAAACATTATAATTCTAAAGCTTGTTTTCGATATAATAATTTTCCAATTTCTCCAAATTGTGTTTGATGGCAGAACAAGAACGAAATAACAGACCAAAACCAATCATTACTTGCTATTTTAGGACGTTATGTACTTTTAGGATAAGTTGTTTCGACATCTTACACCACGTTCTTGAGATGACTGTTAAGGAATTTGTAAAAGTCGTTTGATTAATTAATTTATTTTTTCAGCTTCTCGCGTACTATTACGATCAGTTCGTATCACGAAAATTTTACAGCGGTCCACTTTTAAATTTAAGTAGTAATAATTATATCTGAGCGTTAATGGGGGAGAAGCACATAACGACTAACTAAAGAAGTTTTTTAATGAGACAAGTTGTCAATTTTCATTTAAAAATCCTACGCAGGGAGGTTACAAGGAACATGGAACAAAATATAGAAATCGAACCAACTTAATGTTATAATACCACATTTCCAAATTAATTGTGTAAATCTGAATAAGACATCCATTAAAATGCCACTATCAACATTTGTACTGCGTGTCTTGTCTACAATAGAATATAGAACCAAATACCCAATCACTTTGTTTTGTTAGCACAAGTGTCCGATCGATGTATGGAATATTTTTATATTAAAAGTGCAATCGCTCTAAAGCAGAAATGCAAAAATTGATAGGATTTTTCATGCCTTTCATTCCATTCCAGATGTATAGTTAAAACAATAAACAGATTTTTTTAGTTAGTTTATTTTGATTATTAAAACACACTGCTCTCTATTTACTGTTTTAACCATTTAGCAACAGACAAAATGTCATTTCGATAACATTAACTCGTCTCAGTGAGTTTTTTCATTTAATGCAATGGAATGTATTGCTGTTCAAATCCAAAAACAGGTGATAATAAAAAATAGGAAAGGAGCTAAAATTAATAAGTTATTCACTCACCTAAATAAATAACCGATATATTAATTAAAAGTATCCCAAAAAGGTAGTTAAAATTTTGTGCACTCTAAACTGCAAAACTAAGTTTTAATTGTAGAAAGAGCGTTTTAGACCCACTTGCACCTTAAGTCTTAAAGTAAATTTTTAATTAAAATCATGTTAAAACCTTATTCTATTCATATTGACATTAAAAATAGAGATATGTTTTTAACAGAATTAAGCTAAAATTTGATTTATGAATGTTGGTGCAAGTGGCCCTAGAAATGTAAAGGTTATGTTGTAACAACAAATATTAAGAAAGTAGAAGAAAATATAACTCACAAGAGATAGAGATAAAGAGACAAGAGGGAGAAAGAGAGAGAGAGAGATGTAGTTCTTACTCACCTCGCACCAGAAGTCCCATTTCGGGTTGACGTCGTTGTCGATGTGTTTGGTCTTCCACTGCTGCGCGCCGACCGTTATGATCGCATACGGATCGGACTTACCCTTTCCTGTGTATTTTATCATATTTTTAAACGAGACCCAGAAAAATAACTACTCTTACATCAAGGTGCGAGGGTAAACGTTGCTATAGATAAAAGTTTCTTTATTATTTATATTATACAGGAACTTTTCTGTCATTGGTCGGAGAAAGTGTTATCGTTACTCCGGCTTATGACAAACCCTTCCCTCATGTGACGCAATTTTTAGTGATTGTCTTTTGTGATCAATTTTGTGGTAAAGACGGCGCTCCACTAACATCCGCGACATTTCTACAAAACTAACTAAAGAAACAGTACAATACACAATGATGTTTATCTACAGACTTCTGTAAACATACAAATGATTTGATTTAAGTTTTGAAACTTTTAATTACTATGATGCGAGTTCCGAGTTTGCCAAACTCACTAAGCTTTAAAAAGTTGAGTTGATCTTCAAAATTCATACTTCAATAAAAAGAGAAAGTTGAAACAACAGACAAAAAAACAATGATTAAGCTTACCTATCATCGACACGTCTTTTTTCATGAGATTTTCTGCTTTGATAACATGGATGCGTAGGACGCCCTGGATAAAATAAAAAATACATCAGGAATCCAGAATATATCACAAATCCTGTCCCTACTCAGAATTAAAAAAAAACGGAACAAGTGTGGGTACCAGATTAGCACAGCAAGGGTTTCGTATCCTATCATTATACAAGATTGAATACTATATAGATAACAGTAATAATATATTTTTTGTAAGTCTTTATAGACACTATAGAAATGCACATAATTATTATTCTTAACAAAGAAAAACTGATCTTATTTTATCTATATCGATCTGTTTTGTTCGTAGCACTTATTTTATCGTAACACTTATCCCACTATGCATCGCCGCAAGATATCGTTCTGTTAAAATAAAAGGAATGGAATAAGAGGTACAGTAGAACGCCGATTAACCGCATCACCAATTATCCGAATCGGTTCTAATAAATAAAAAATAAATCGAACCGCGTCGAAATTCCGCAGTAGTGGTCCGTGAGGGCCGCGGTAGCATAATTGGTCAGTGCATTCGCCCGGATTGCGAAGGGTGCGGGTTCGAGTCCCGTCTGCTGCCTGGTCTGCGTGGATTTTTTTCTAGTTATATTTTCTTTAGATTTAAACATCAAGCAGTTACATGCTTTAAAATAATAAAAATTATAACCACGTTATATATGTTTTGTTTTGTTGTAACAAGTTGGAACTCGCTGGAATCCATTCAAACTATTAAGGTTGAAAGCTAGAGGCAAGATGTTAGATTATATACCAAAATGTTTCTGTAAGACTAGTAGCGCCATCTATAATCTAATCATGTAATGTTGATGTGTCAAATAAAAAGTCAGTCGTTAACCGAAAGAGCGTGTTTTAATAGGTTATGGGCTAATGTCCTGATTTTCTTAAGTAATTAGTGTTACAGTTTAAGAAAAACGCTGAACTTTTGTGTAGATAATGGCTTTAAACTATATACAAAGTGTTCCCAAACTGAAAGAGCGGGAAAATTATGATGAGTGGAGTTTCGCGGCAGAAAATTTGTTAGTGCTAGAGGGCATGATCCAATATATCAAGATGCCCGGTGCAGAAACAAAGACTGCAGACGACGAAAGAACTAAGGCAAAGTTAATATTGACTATAGATTCAGGGCTGTATGTTCATATCAAGGAAACGAAAACCTCGTTTGAGCTGTGGACAAAGTTGAAAAATATGTTCGATGACTCCGGCTTTTCAAGAAAAATCTCTTTGCTGCGACATTTGATTTCAATCAGGCAAGAAAACTGTGATTCTATGACTAATTATGTAACGCAAGTAGTCGAGACAGCACAAAGATTAAAAGGAACCGGGTTCGCCATAACAGATGAATGGATTGGATCATTATTATTAGCAGGTTTGCCGGAAAAGTATTCTCCTATGATCATGGCAATAGAACATTCAGGAATACAGATTACCACAGATTCTATAAAATCTAAATTGATTGATTTGGAAGTTTCTTTAAATTTGGACTCCAGTGGCGCTGCATTCGCTGCAAAAAGGACATACCCGAAAACGCGGCACAACACTACAAATAAAAATAGCTGTCAGCGACAACAAACGTCTATGGCGTCTAAAATGCAGTCGAAAAAAGTGGTTGTGTGCTACAAATGCAAAGAAATCGGGCACTTTAAAAATCAATGTCCGTTATTGCAAAAAAATAAACAAACGAATGCGTTTAGTGCGGTATTCTTAGGTGGACAGTATAATAAAAGCGAGTGGTATATTGACTCCGGCGCAAGTGCGCACATGACATCGAATGAAAATTGGATAGAAAATGCTAATTTTATGCCAGTTATGTCAGAAATTACGGTAGCTAATAGTACAAAGGTACCCGTAAAATGCTCCGGGGACGTGAAAATAACCTCAGATCGCAATTACGAGATTACTGTCAAGAATATGTTGTGTATTCCAAAATTGTCAACAAATCTGTTGTCAGTGAGTGAGCTTATAAAAAATGGGAACAAAGTTGTGTTTGAAAGTAACAATTGCTATATTCGAAATATGAAGAATGATATAGTAGCCACTGCATATTTGATAAATGGTGTTTACAAGTTGAATTCAAAAACAACAGATTGTATGTTAGCAGCACCAGCATTGGCAAGTGCAGAGTTATGGCACAGGCGCCTAGCACACATCAATAGTGGTGATTTGAATAAAATGAGAAATGGCATTGTAGAAGGAGTGAATTTTTCTTCTCCTAGCGACACAAAGAAGGAGAACTGTATAACTTGCTGTGAAGGCAAACAAACAAGGCTGCCATACCCACGTAGTGAACATACCAGCATGGAGACACTACAATTAGTCCATGCAGATGTGTGTGGGCCTATGGAAACAAAGTCTACAGGCGGTTCACGATTCTTCTTGCTTCTTGTGGATGACTACAGTAACATGACATTCATTTATTTTCTCAAACACAAAAATGAAGTTTTCCAGAGATTTAAAGATTTTAGTGGATGACTACAGTAACATGACATTCATTTATTTTCTCAAACACAAAAATGAAGTTTTCCAGAGATTTAAAGATTTTAAAGCTATGGTTGAGAACCAACAATACAGAAAAATCAAGATACTTGGAACTGACAACGGAGGTGAATTTCTGTAATGGTGCAATGGACAATTTTTTGGCAAATGAAGGTATAATTCATCAAAGGACTAATGCATATGCCCCTGAGCAGAATGGTGTCAGCGAGAGAGCCAACAGAACTGTTGTAGAAAAAGGCAGATGTTTGCTTTTTGAGGCAAAACTTGAAAAGAAACTTTTGGGCAGAGGCTGTTCATACTGCAGTTTACTTGAAAAACAGATGTGTTACATCTAGCTTAGTAAACAAAACACCTTATGAAGTGTGGTATCAAAGGAAGCCTGACTTAAGCCATGTACGTCTATTCGGAAGCCCGGTGATGGTACATGTTCCCAAAGAACATAGACTGAAATGGGATAAAAAAGCAGATCAATTTATATTGGTTGGATACTCTGTCACTGTAAAGGGATATCGAGTCTACGATCCAATGAAAAATATTGTCACTGAAAAGAGAGACATAATAGTGATGGAAGGAAAGCATGGAATTGAAAATCCACAAGAAAATGCTATATGGATACAGAATGATGAACAGAACTTAATGCAAAAAGAAGAGACTAAGGCACTACATAATGTGCAAGAATCTAGTATAGAGAACAGAGATTCAGTGGGGGATACTACCATAAATGAATCTCTGTCTAGTCCAAGTTATGATTCATCAAATTATATGGCTCCAGATGAGACTCATGTTGATACTTCAACTGATTCCATCACATAAACCGATATTTCAGGTGAGCTTCAAAGTCTTCGAGTTGGTTGGAGATAAGAGATAGAGAAGACCAACCAACCGTTTTGGTTATTTAAACATGTGTACATCAAACAATTTACCATGTGCTGAGGAGATTGACCTTTCAGAAGCGCTGAATGGACCGGAAGCAGAACAATGTAAGCTGGCCATGCGTGAAGAGTTGCAGTCATTTGAGTTCAATGATGCTTGGGAGCTCATTGATATACCAAGTGATACCTCCATAGTACAGTGCAAGTGGGTATTAAATAAAAAAAAATATGTAAATGATAAATTAAGATATAGGGCAAGGCTTGTGGCTAAGGGTTTTTCACAGCGAAGTGGAATTGATTATGTGGACACATTTGCTCCTGTAGTTAAACATTCAACTCTTAGAATGTTATTTGCTCATAGTACACAGTGGAACATGGACATTACTCATCTAGATGTTATTACTGCTTTTTTAAATGGACACTTGAATGAGAATATTTGTATGTATCTTCCTGTAGGTTTTGAATGTACAGATAAAACTTAAGAAAGCAATATATGGGCTTAAACAATCATCCTTAATGTGGTATAAGAGAGTTAAAGATTGTTTATTTAAATTGGGTTTTAAAATAAGTAGCAATGAACCATGTTTATTTACAAAAGTTAATGAGAATGTTAAAATAATTATAGCTGTTTATGTCGATGATTTTTTGATTTTTTCAAACTATAAAGAGGAAACTGATAAGTTGAAAACTGTTTTAAGCTCAGAATTTAAGATAAAAGATTTAGGTTGTGTAAAACGCTATTTAGGCATGAGAGTGCATGTAGACAGAAAATTAAATACTGTAAAAATAGATCAAGAACAATATATAGAACTGTTGTTACATAAATTTGGAATGTTTAATTGTAGATCTATTGATACTCCTATAGAATGTAAATTGAATCTTGAAAAGGCTGAAAATCGTTTAACAGATGTTCCTTATCAAAGACTGATAGGTAGTCTAATGTAGTTAACTGTTCTGTCTAGGCCTGACATAGCTTATCCCATTAGTTACCTAAGTCAATTTAATAATAGCTATGATGAAACTCATTTTAATCAAGCTAAGAGAGTGTTGAAATATTTACAAAAAACTAAACATTATTGTTTGAAATATAGCAAAGATAATAATATAGAATTAGGTTTTGTAGATGCCGATTGGGCAAGTGATGTTTTAGATAGGAAATCCTACACTGGTTTCTGCTTTATTATGGCTGGTTCTGTTATATCATGGCAAAGCAGAAAGCAGAAAACTGTATCATTATCCAGTACTGAAGCTGAGTACGTAGCATTGTCGGAGGCAGATAGGGAAGCTACATATTTGAGAAATTTGATGTATGAAATAACAGGTAAATTAAGCAGTGTTAAGTTGCATTGTGATAATCAGAGTGCATTGAAATTATCTTCAAATCACCAGTCTCTGAATAGAACTAAGCACATTGATGTGTGTTATCATTTTATTAAGGATGCTATAAAGGATTATGTAATTCAGTTGAAATATGTGTCAACACTAGATATGCCTGCTGATCTCTTGACCAAAGGTTTATTATCTGCAAAGCATTATAAATTTTTAGGAATGATAGGTCTTGTTCCTATTTAATATTTAAGTTTATAGATTGTTACTTGTTGCCTTAAGGCCGTATACAGAAAGAAAGCCGAAAGCCGATCAGCGCCGATCGGCGCTTATCGGCGCCTATTGGCGCTGATCCTTTTTCTATGGACCGGCGCCGAGACGCGCTGGTCCGAATAATAAATAATTTGTATTTGAATTATTATCCTTAGATTAAATCAATATAAGTTATAATCTTTTTATAAATCTAATAACTTTATCTTTTATTAACTAAGCGCTAAAATTGTTTGTTTCGTACTTACCGAATGGTGACAACAAGTCTTTCTTCTGGAAGGATTGGTTGTTTATGCCAATTGCACCAATTTTTCATCAAACGGTTTTTCATTAAATCCAAAATGTAATTAAATGTTTCTTGAATCATTCTTGTATATGTATAAAATCTTTATTCATCAAAATTAAATTTTTTTACAAATAAATGATGGTATTCTCCGAAACGTTTCCTTTCTCTATTTATAGGATGTATAGCTTTTTTTCGCATTTTTAAATACACATTTTCTAACAAAACCAGATCATCCTCCGATGAGTCCGACATTTTGCTTGATCTGCTATAATCGGCTTCCTTTATGTAGGAAGGATCGGCGCCGATAAGCTACGATCGGCTTTCGGCTTTCTTTCTGTATACGGCCTTAGAAATATTTTGTTAAGTAGGGGTGTTAGATTATATACCAAAATGTTTCTGTAAGACTAGTAGCGCCATCTATAATCTAATCATGTAATGTTGATGTGTCAAATAAAAAGTCAGTCGTTAACCGAAAGAGCGTGTTTTAATACAAGACACTACATGTATTGCGTCGCGCGGTTTTTTTGATACTATGTACCTTTTTATTGTATTTAGTATTGTAGAACTGTGTTTGTTAAATTTAATAAGATTTATTCTATGTGTGAGAGTTCGTTTTTCTTTATTACGAGTCTATGTCCGATTATACGAATCGACACCGGTCCCAATTAAATCGGATAATCGGCGTTCTACTGTATTTCTAAATGTTTACCTCTGGTTCGGGCATGCGCAGATCGACAGTGGGTATCTCGTCGCTGAGCTTGATGGGCAACTTGTTAGGCAGTACCATCATACGCGCCACTTGTTCCACTATGCAACGCCGCAAGATGTCACTGTCACAAAAATAAACCGATGATGAGATAAGAAGTGCGAAGGTTGCCGCCTGAAGAGGGCATAGTGTTTTCTTTTGGCCCAAATAATTTCGATATTCTGTTTGTCGCTGTAATTGATCAAGGGACACATTTAAAACATACGAGTAGAGCATTTTTGTTTAAATTTAGGTTTTTATTTTTTTTCTTCATAAATACTCAAAAGTGCGACCTGTGGCTATCACAAAATAATAGATTGTAATAAGGTCTGGTCTATCACTCATAAAAATACCAAATCGCATTATTGCAGTTGTTAGGAGGAATAAAATTTCAAATTTTAATGTTATAGGCGAGGAGCCACCAATCCTGAAAGTTCCGTGATCACGGATTCTAATATTTTTAATAAAAATAAAAGTTAACGTTTAGACGAACAAGATTTGCTTGGTCGGCGTGGATCGTCGTGGATCATCCGGCCAATCAAGGCCGGAAATATTTTAATAAAATTATTTATTATTAAATTTCCATATTTTTTTTCCGTCATCACGGATTTTGATCAATGTTATATAGAATTTTGTGTGAAATATTATGTTCAACAAGAAAAATTCCGGCCGACCAATGATTTTTAGCCGGAAAGGTCACGTATACCTATTTGAATGGTGTGATAAGGGGTCAAATTTATCCATTATCACGGAAACCTTTTTTTTATTTTTTTAATTAACGCGTTTTAATGTCACATTTATAATTATCTTGGTCAGCATTGTATTGCATCTCCCGGCGCACCTCGGAGTTGTTTACTAATTGTCCACGTGATCATACTGTGTTTTCTTTACGTTATAGTGATATTTAACAATGTACAATTTTAAATGTGATTCAAGTGGGATTTGAAGAGGTGTAATATTATTGTTTCTGACTATAGGAACAAATTCTACCAACAATGAGTTCACAAACGTCTCCTAATACCCAAAGTTATGCTACGGTGGCACAAAATACAGTGTTTCCTAAAAAAGATCAAGCGGTAGTGATTGACTCCCTTGAAAATGTTCAAATTAAGGATTATGCACTTGCCCTTGGTAAAATTATTGATCCATGCCATATAAGATTTTATCCAGAATATCAAATAATCGCATTTGTATATACCTAGCCTCAAAAACTTTAGCAGATGATCTTACAGACAATAAGAAGTTTATAAATATACAGGGACAAAAGTTAACTATTCGACCTTTAATTAACAAAAACAAACGCATAATCCTTTCGAATGTGTGTCCGATTATCCCGCATAGTGAATTAGAAAAGAAATTTATAGAATTACAACTTAAACCTATGTCTCCGATTTCATTTCTTCGGGCTGGGCTTAGTGATGCTGGATACAGTCATATATTAAGTTTGCGTCGTCACCTGATAAAATACCTATAGAATTTGATGAAACCACCTATTGGATTTATATATCTTCAGACACGATGACATGTTTTTTGTGCAAAAAAGAAGGGCACATAGCTTCCAAATGTACAGAAAATGACTTGGATGCAGGTCTTTCACAGGATCTAGAGGATAATAGAACATACAATACTGAGGCATCTACGTTTAAACGCCCACACCCCCCCAACCGAATCTTCTGTTTCGGAGGAAACTCGAGTGTCTTTAGAGCATATCACTGAAGAGATATATAGCGATGAAGATAGTGACACCTTATCTCAAACCTGTATAGAAGATACGCAAACGGTGAATGGCAAGAAACGCAAGAGAACGTCCCAAAATGACTTGGATTCTATCAACTGGCATGAAATAAATTCTTTGATATCAAATTCCGATAAAGAATACCCGTTAACTGTGAATCAGGTTAGAGAGTATCTTGACATAACTTACGGAGTCAAAAATATTGAAGAAATAACTTACAGGTACAGATCAAATCGCTGACTTAATATTAATGTTTAAGGACTTAATCCCTATCATAACATGTCGCAGTATTAAAAATAGATTAACTCGTATTGTCAATAAACTTAAATTACAAACTAAAAAATGAATAATATCGAAAAAAGAAATATAAAGCTGAAAATTGTACAATGGAACTGTAGAAGTCTTGTGCCTAAGTTAAGTGAATTAGAAGCATGTTTGTTTAAAGAAAGAGTTCATATTTGTATTTGCTCGGAAACATGGCTGTCACCCGAGAGTAGGTTAAGTATTTCCGGCTATTATATTTTTAGGAAAGATAGAAATGACGAATATGGAGGTGTCGCTATTTTGATACTTACATAATTCTATTAAAGCAAAATTAACTAACCACTACGAATATTTTAAACTGTCAAATAGAACATGCATATCATAGAAATTATTAACTGTACTAAAATTAAGTATATAATAGCAGTTTACTCGCCGCCAAATATTAATACGTGCAGAACTGACTATGAATCTTTATTTAGCTTTTTTGGCAGAAATACCTTAATAACAGGAGATTTTAACGGCCACCATACAGCATGGTCTTATAAAACGGATACGCGAGGTTCATTAATTGCAGAGACGAGTATAGATAATAATTTTATATATTTAAATAATGGAGAACCGACTCGCCTTGCGATGCATAACGGGATGTGCATCTTTTCCGCCCCAGACATCACTTTCGTAAGCTGTGATATTGCTTTATACTCGAAATTGTCTGTATCAAATAAATGTGGCGGTTTTATTTGAACTACTCCGATACATGTGATGCAGGCTGAATGAAGTATAGTACCATTACGATTAAGAAGGCAATGTTTATGTAATAAGTATATGTTAAAGGTTTGATCCAGGTTGGATGACTATCTTATCAAACGAATTTCTGTTCTTTCCGAATTGTTATCGCTTCAAGTGTACTGGCGCAGAAATTGTGAATCTTTAATGGTAAAGGTATATGAGGATATTAGGAAGCTTTGTGTACATCTATGCAAGTCTCCGCCATTATATCAACTGCTTTTTCTTGTAACTGAATTACCACTTGAAGACATAATCACCATTAGTATAAAACCCATAACAACTACCAAAAACCTTACCGATCGAAATGTGTTCAATAAAGCTGTTGAATTGATGTTACGTAATAAATATCCAGGTTTTAAGCAAATTTATACAGACGCATCTAAGAGCAATTTTAATTCGGGGTATTCTTTTTATGACCACAGTACAATGTTTAGTGCTAAATTTAAAGTTGAGAATAAATCTATTCCCATTATGGGTTTGGAGCTGCTTGCAATGATGGAAGCACTAAGTTATGTTGAGTCCTGCGGCTATAAAGAAATTGTCCTACTTACAGATTCTGCATCCTCGTTGTACCATTTGTTAAGGGTTGATAAGGGTTGTTTTGGTAGATTAGAGGCTTTCACCATTATTAAATGTATTTGGAAATTAATACGTAACGGTGCTCAAGTCAGGATGCAATGGATCCCTTCGCATGTAGGTATTTGCGGAAATGAAGTGGCTGACTCAAATGCTAAACAAGCTTTGTCTGACGGTGTAGAATTGGAAGTACCTTCCCATCATTCAGACTATTTAGGACAAATTCGAGAACGTATTTACGATTTGTGGAAAACGTCATTTGACCAAATTTCTAGAGAAAAGGGTATCTGGTACAAAACGCTGGTGTGTGAGCCACCTCATGTCCCGTGGTTCCACAAAAGTAAGTTTAATCGTAAGATACTTGTTTTTTGCTTGAGAGTTCGTTCTGGGTATGTTCCATTGAATGCATTTAAATTTTTAATGGGCAAAAGAAATAATCCCTATTGTGACAGTTGTCAAAATACTAAAGAAGATTTGATGCACATACTGATGGAGTGTTCGCAGAACGAAACACACAGAATTGAGCTCATCAATAGTACTAATTGTAGTAGACAAAATTTATTTTTTATATTTCATCAATGTTTTAGTTCCAACTTTAGTTGTAATAACAGCGACAGAATTCTTAAGTTTCTTTCATTGTCCTTATCGAATTGTGATATAAATTAAGTTATAGCTATGTAGCCGGCTTAACCTTAAGGTGTATGGCTTAATAAAGAATAAAAAAAAATATCTTGGTATGTATGCTTACAAGCTGCCAATTATAAATGTGACATTATAACGCGTGAATTAAAAAAATAAAAAAAGGTTTCCGTGATAATGGATAAATTTTACCCATTATCACACCATTCAAATAGGTATGCGTGACCTTTCCGTCTAAAAATCATTGGTCACCGGATTTTTTCTTGTTGAACATAATATTTCACACAAAATTCTATATAAGATTGATCAAAATCCATGACGACGCAAAAAAATATGGAAATTTAATAATAAATAATTTTATTAAAATATTTCCGGCCAATCAAATCCACGCCGACCAAGCAAATCTTGTTCGTCTAAGCGTTAACTTTTATTTTTGAAGTTATACTTCTTTAGGCGCGTTATGAAAAAATGATGAGAGTGAAATTTTTAGATGCTCGCGCATCACTGTAACCCAAAAGTAACAGCATGAAGTTGGCCGCGGGCGCGTTATGAAAAAATCATGTGAGTGAAATTTCGAGATGCGCGCGCATCACTGTAACACAATAGTAACACCATGAAGTTGGCCGCGGGCGCGTTATGAATGTTAGTGTCTAATAATGGTGGATTATTAACCACTTAGTGGTTAATAATCCACCATTATTAGACATATGTTCGAAAGGTACTTTGAACGATCCACGGAGCTCCATAAGATGATCGCGTTGTCAAAAAAATGTTGGCACGCTCGTCGCCTCTGATCACTGTTTTCATATTTATAATATTTATCCACATGTTTCTAGTTTCTATATAGACACAACGTGTTTTAGTTACTTACAAGTGCTAATTACATATGGACTAATAACTTAAATTCAGTAGTGATTTTAATTGAATATTTTGAATATTTATTTAATTTTTCAAATTAAAACTGAACTTAATTGACTGTGTTAACTATCCTTTTCCAGTCCTTTTGATTATTTTATTGTAATTATTAATTATTTGCATGCAATTAAAAAATATTTTTAATGATGCTAAAGAAGTATAACTTCTCACGCGCGTACATAAGTTACACGCATCCATTTTTTTTATTAAAAATATTAGAATCCGTGTCACGGAGCTTTCAGGATTGGTGCTGCCCGGACTATTAGGGTTAGCAGTTTATTTGTCCTCAGTTCATTATATTTTATTGAGACATAATTACTAGAAAATCTTGGCCTTTTATAAAGGATTTTTCGATGAAGGGTCACATGTAGCGCGGGAAGGGGTCCACCCTCGTTAAGTTTATACTAAAACCCGTGCTCTTACCTGGAGAAACAGGGGCGAGCACCATAGAGCCATGACCAGAGTTAGACTCTCTGTCGTCACTTGACGGAATTAAATTCAAATTACATAAAAATCGTAAACGAACATTTTAAAATTAGTGGCGGCCAAGTAGGTCGAATATGGAGGAAATAAACAAAGCGAACGGTTGGAGCACACCATTACAGAAGGTTGAGATGAGACAAATTTAGAATCTGATTGTTTGCTTTTTTCGTATCTGGGGCAGGTAATTGCATCTGGATGTCTTCATTTTGATCAGAAAAAACTGCACCAAAATTAAAATTGCGGTCATATGCCTCAAGTCTGTAAAAAAACCCAATGTTGTACCTCCCATTTTAGCCAGAGTTAACTCCCACTCTATGGGATGTCTGACTGATGCAAAAATAAGATAGATTTGACTAATGAGCCCGCTAAAAGTTACTCAGCTCCATGAATCATTAAAATAATAATGGAAAATGCATCTTTGTACCGAGAATGAGCATTCTAGCATAATAATAGAAAGAGTACATTTCTACTAGATCAGCTTTTCTGCCTTGCACAGATGCTCCTCACCTTTTCAACTCTGTTTTCAGCTGTATTACAGACCATGTTAAATACATTTTCACCACTTATTTAATATTTTTAACAACAAAAAAACACGTTTCAAATTTGACAGTGGCAATATTTGGCTGTGGTTTGGGTCAAGCGTTTGCAGCGCCATCTATGTCGAGCTTTGCGTACTATACTTCTCCATTGATTCATGATCCAATATAAGCTTATTTTTATAATTTGGTACATAGATATGTATATTCAAACACACAACCTTGACTCAACTCAAGTACAAGTGTTCGAAACACCATAATAAACATTTGCCCTAACCCAGGACTTCTAAGTAGGCGACATCTTTAAAACCACTATAGCATGGAGGTCGGCGGTTTACACCTTATCATGCTGTAGCTATGGTCAAGGTATAGTTAAAGTATACCTGCCCCCCTAGCATTAGCACTGCGTTATGATATATAGATAGTTGTTATCACTCTCAATTGTCACATTACTATGGACTTTCACAGTTAAACGCGGTAAAAAAATGATTATATCACTTTTTTTTGTAGTGCTCAAGCTACGGGGACTGAAGCCAGGAATGTCAAGGACATCGGCAGCCCCGACGAGGTTGAAGTCGATGGGTAGTACCCCAATATGTATAGTAGGGGAGTATACCTGAAGCCAGGAATGTCGAGGACATCCGCAGCCTCGACGAAATTGAAGTCAATGTAGAGTAGAAGTATACCTGAAGCCAGGAATGCCGAGGACATCCGCAGGCCGACTAGGTTAAAGTCAACGGGTAGTACCTATATATAAAGTATGAGTATACCGGAAGCCAGTAATGTCGAGGACTTCCGTAGCCCCGACGAGGTTGAAGTCAACGGGTAGTACCTCTATGTAAAGTAGAAGTATACCTGAAGCCAGGAATGTCGAGGACGTCTGCAGCCCCCACGAGGTTGAAGTCGATGGAGGGGTTGTTGAGGAAGAACACCTGCAGCCCCCCCACCAGGGGCATTTTGGTAATCAGCGGCTTCATCACCACGCGCACCATGCCGTGGATCTGTAGCAACAATAAAATAGTACGGGTATAGTGCGATTCAGACTATAGCGGCTGTGAAATTAGGCCACTGACATGTTTTTATATGAGTTTTTTTTAACAAAATCGCCGTCGCGTCGCTTTCGCCGTACCAGTACAACAAATAGTACAGGTACAGTAATTTCAAACTTTTAAGTTAGTAACGAGCGTGCTAAAAATCAAATAGTAGGTAGTCGTAGGTACAGTGGATTGAAATTTAATGGTGGTTGTGAAATTAGCAAGTCCATTTTCTAAGTCAAAGTATGGGTGACAAAATTTTTATCACCACTAAACACGTCTAGTGTGGAGATTCAATAAGCAACAAAACATAGAGTAATATAACTACTTATTAAACTATGGGTAAAATTTCTTTTATATATATCTAATTTTCGAGGAGGAAATCGTCGAGAGCAAATTTTGCAATTTTTATACGTAATTTTCAGCGTTCGCAACTATTGTCCCTATCGCACGGTATTTACCAATGCGCGACAGTAACAGTTTTTTCAAAATTTTCAGATCGCGTTCGCTCTTAAAGAAACAAGAACAAAAAACGAATCGCAAATGATGAAGTAACACATTCTGCCCCTCATACATATGTACATGCTATTCTAAGTAACGTGCGAGACGGACAGAATGATTATGTCGGCATTTTCGATTGGTTATTTTCCTTCCCTGACCTGTGAAATGAAATGTGAAATGCTTACCTGCAGATCTTTAATGCCTCCTCTAATGCGCTGGAGAACGAAAGATATATCGCAGTCACCAGCGTAGCTGTAACATAAACAGTTAGCTCGGAAAAAAAACACACACAAACAATGTATATGTCACCGCACCGTGAATTGAAAACATGAAACTGATTATTTTAATTATTGTTTTAACTGAATTATTATTATCATAAGTTACGCAAAATCCATTCTTTAAATATTAACACATAATTTAAACATATCTTTAACAAAATAACAGTAGTGTTTGATTTCTAGTTTATAATTAGTAAACGTTTTGACCGACAAACGACAGCGGTGTTGTAAAGTAAGATGCTTTTAATTCTATTGTATTTTTTAAGCTTGATTAATGCGCAAATTAGCTTTCAATAAATAAATAGCTAGATATTGCTTAATGGTGTCTGCTAATAATAATAATTTATTTAAAAATAAAAAACGAACTTAAAACGACGCGCAAGCAGCACCATCGGAGCCTGTTTCGACAAAAGTTCGAATTGGTGGGTAAAATGGCGGTGCTAGGTGCGCACGAGAAAGAATTTGATTGAGTTTGTTGCGGAATTATGTTGTGAACACATCTGTTAGTAAAACCACTGATTGTTAAATAAAAATAATTTGTTTTATTAGTCTTTTTAATTTTCATTGAAGTTTTTTTATTTTGAAATAATAAAGTAAAAATAGTGAGATTGCTATTGATATCTTATGTTAATATTTGTAGTGTTATGATGAGTAACTAATAGCAGAACCACTGGTTCTGCCTTTTAAAAAACATAGGTAGAAGTTTTTCTCCGATATATATATCACTAGCTGACCCAGCGAACTTCGTACCGCCCTAAAAAAGTAGGGGTTGTCCAGCGGACAAAATTGTGAATCTAAACCATTCTCAGATCCCCTTGAACACACACAAAAAATTTCATCAAAATCGGTCCAGTCGTTTAAGAGAAGTTCAGTGACATACACACTCACAGAAGAATTATATATATAAAGATAATTAAACTCGTGGAGAAAGTGCCTGCTTTTGACACGGCACAACATCTTTAAAGTACAGCCATAAGATTTTTTCAATGATGAACACCGTAGGTACAAATCAAGCTGCGCACAGTAAGTGTGCTAACCTGACAAACTCAAGAGATTCTGGATCTTATATTAAGCAATATAAAGCTAAAAGGCAGTGAGTTAGAAAATTAGACAGTTTTGGAAACTGTCTAATTTTCTAACTCACTGCCTTTTCTGTACATACGAAGATTATGATGTTAATACGCCGCATAAAAATCCCTTGCTGTGCCTCGTGCCGGCAGTGGGTACCGGCCTTGTTTTTGTATTTAAGATATCAACAAATTACGGTGCATATTATAATCGCACTGCCCCAACTTGTAGGTATTTGCCATTGAAGTCACCGCTCAATAGCCGCTCTCACATCCGCGGCAATAAAATGTTTCATATCAAAATATTTATATAAAATACTCACAATAAATCGATGTCCATGATTATTTCGTTCCTCGCTAGGTTCCTATCGTAGACTTTGACGCCACCCACGCGAGGCGCCTGCAAGCGTGAACAATCTCGTTAAACATCATGATGCTATTACCTTTACTGATTTACGAGATATTTACGTGTACAGAAACACCTATTAAGATTAATACGAGTGTACCGGTGCTAATCTAACATGCTGATTGTATGGTCACTGAACTTGAACGCGTGTTCTAAGAAAAAAAAAATATTGAAATGTAGATGTACCCGGTGGAGCTCTATGGCTCAGTGGTAGCACGAAAGGTCTGCGATTGTGGAAGTTAAACAGCTTTCGCAAAAGCCAACTAAAACATCTGCAACTGGTCCTTTCTACTTCCGCAGTCGTTGGCAGCCACCAAACTGAACCTGTATGGTAAGTTATGGGGCCATTCCCTGCGATTATATCCAAAGGAAGGTCTGTGCCCCAGGATAGAGAAAGTGGAGCAGTGGCACTAACGCACCAAGAAGCAGGAGCGCTAAAATTTATTAGAATTAGCATTCGTGAATAACATCCAGCGGAAAACATAAATAACGTGAATTAAAATCGTCGATCAAAGGGCCTTAAAAGAAAATCTCGGTCATACCTTGAGCAAGGGCTCCGGGTGGTAGGCACCGACTACAAAAACCATCTTAGGCGCACCAAAGTAGAACAATTGACTTAAGTACTATCCCAATCAGTAAGGCAATTTAGGAATACAAATTGGATCAAAATATAGATGCAAATTTTATTATTTTTAATCAACAAAGTCTTGATCTGGTAATGAAGCGTAGAAGAGTTATATGTCAATGTTACTCGTGCAAGAAGATACCAATGAAAATAGTTAATGGTTTTTTATTTTACTTTAATGTTTCCGTATAAGCTTACACGTCTAAAAATAGCTAATAACGGTTACGATCAGTTTTGTGCAATGTTTTTTCCCCTTTACTTACATAAAATAGAGGTATACAGTTTTTGGTTTTCCCAATAGAAATAATTAAAATAAATTTTGTCCTACTATTTTATAGTTCAGCATAATGTGAAAAAAAAACATAGTTAGGTACCTACTTGTAGTACGTGTACTTTTGCATGGTTTTAGGTAAAATGCAGTCATCGCTTTCACACCTTAAATGTTAAATTATCGCGTGATAAATAGCGATCACTAAAACTGAGTCATACATACATTACTCAGTTTTATAACATACTTTAATCTAAATGATCCTCATAATGATTTTTACAACTCTTAATTCGACTATATAAGCTAGGATGTTGACTGATATGGATACTTACGATGGTTCCGAGTATCATTCTTTCGAATTTGAATCCGTTTAGTTTGTAATTAGCCAGAGATTCAGCGACTGCGGGCTCGATGGTGTCCTTGAGTAAACTTCGGGCGTAATGGTTTACGTTGGGCCACACTTGAAGTAATATCTTAAAGAATTTAAAATATTATATAGCAAGTGTAATCGCAAGAAACACTTGGTATTGAAAAACGGATTCAGCTGGTGTATGTCGTAGGATGCTATGATAAATCGAATTTTCGCGAAATTCCTAGGGATTTTAGGAAACCGCGTTTAATTAGATGGTGTTGATAGTGTGGTGTTACATGGTGATGAAATTGTTAAACGAAATTTATTTTTAGTGCTTCGCCGGCCGCACTGCCGCAGCACGCGCTTCGTGATCACAACACTAACCAAATGTGTAAACCTAAAAAAATAATGAATATTTATAATAAGCCAACGATTATTTTCGCAATCTTAGTGAAGCGACTCGCGTTTTCGCAAAAGTCCTATCTTTTTTCAGTAAGATTGAGAAAATTGTTATCGCCATTGGCCAATTATCCGCGTTTTCGCAAAAAAACGATTTATCAAATTATCCTACGACATAATCATACATATTTAATAGATACGGAAGTGTATCGCTAATATATATTTTTTAAACAGGTACTTAATTTTTAATGTGTGGTATAATTCCTAATTATAATAACTTACCCTGTTCAACCATTCTGCTCGTTCAACATCCGGGAAAAATACCTGAAAGAATATTGGTTTTTATATTAGCAGAATCGATGTTCATGAATTAATCAATATGTAGAGGCTCAATATAAGGCTAGAGAAAATTCGACACGGCCGTCAGGGCCGCGGTAGCATAATGATCAGTGCATTCGCCCGGATAGTGAAGGGAGCGAGGTCGGGTCCCGTCTACTGCCTGGTCCGCGTGGATGTTTTTCTGGTAAACTTTTCTTTTGATTTAAACATCTAGCAGTAAAGTGCTTAAAAAATAAAAACATTAAAAAATATTCAAATTATTATAAATTAACAAACTAATTAAATATTATGGAAACAGAATAGATTAGTGAGTTCAGCGTGTTATGCGGTGTTTTTATAATGGTTTATTACATTAATAAGGTCTTATCAATAACATTGTTTCCTTTAGTTTGTATTTTGTTATTAAAATCTTATATTTTTGAATATGCGGAAAATTAATGATATTTAAGTACCTACACTAATGTCCACGAATTCAAATTATGAGTCGTAAAAAGTTACATTTTTTAAATGGTTCAGATTTATTTTATAACACGGGATGTTGACCGCAAGCGCGAGTGTGGTGAGTGAGTGGAACAATATTGGATAATATGCAATGGATGTGAAAAGTATTCTTTACGATAATGTAAATCAATGTAACTTGTAAATTTATTAGTAACGAATCATTATTCATAGGGAGCATTTTCCACTATAATTTGGGGCGTCCAACTTGGGAAGGCACCGCCATCATACTTTGATGAAGTACGATATTTTTTTATGTTTCTGTTGTAGGACTCTAGGAGTTAGGGAATTGTGTCTTGTCCAGGCTAGTAAAAAGAGTACTTTTTATTTGATCTAAGGGAGATTATAGCTGAAGCAGCATATTATGTAACAAAGCTATCGCCACAACTGGGCTTGATTTACTTTAACACCGGAAGGTCTACGTAATTTTATTTAAATGAACTCAAATTCAGATTTAAATTGAGAATTATTGTAAGTAAAAATGCTACAATTTATTCTGTTCCTATATTGTGTTACCCCTACCACTGGCAAGTGGGATGGGGTAAGCAATATGTGTTGTGCATATATAGAAAAAATATATGGGCATTATAAATACTTTTTATAATGAAGACGCTCTTTAATGATCTTGATATAAATTTAACAAACACTTAAATTGAGTCATTATTACCTACTTGCAGTAGTCTTTTCACAGAGTGTTTTAATCTATATAGTGAGTTTTAAAACTTTAATTCACGCGATAAAGCTTACAGCTTTTGAGTTGTGTATAACCTTTTCTTGATCCATCATAATTTTGTTTTTTAATATGTATATATATATAATATAATTGACATATACATATTAAATATACCCAATGTCTTTTATAAAAGCTTATCAAAACTGACAAAATGATTATAGGCTACAATAGTTTCTCTTATAATTTCGAAACTATGAAAAAATATTAGCTGGACTGATATTTAATTCTCAAGTAACATAACATACTCTGTAATAAATGAAAAAGAAAATCAAAATAAAAAAAAATGTTTTATTTCTTTACCATACATCTGGTTACATAGATAAAGGTGGGCTCTTTTTTTAAGTGTAAGACAGGTGTCTTACACTTAAAAAAAAGAGCCCACCTAATTACCAAAAAGAACCACTATTCCATAACATTATGGTAAGGTCATTCATTTTATTAAGATTAAATATATTATATTGTGAGTTACACCACAGAGCTAGTTAAAGTTAAATGGCAATTTACGTTAAAATAAGTAGGTGCAATTCACGACTAATCAAAGCACTTCTAAATGACACAAGAATACAATTTAAACTAAGTGGGGTGTTTATGCATATGTGGCTTTTTAATATATTTATAATTTTTTGTTTATTCTATACATAGATTTATATTTATATACCTATACAAAAAAATAGTTATTATACGACAAAATGTTAATAAACTCTCTGTTTTGTCATAGTCTTAAGTCTTCAGCCATACCGTCAGCTTGTTTTCGCATTCATAGTAGATTAGCGGGTAGATACTAAGAATCTTGTTAATGCGATTATAGATGATAGATGAAAGATGTGGATTTTGGTTTCGAGCAAAGTTTGTATTTGTACGTTCTATTATAGCTACTCTGTCATTTCTTCTTTTTTTTATAATATTAGGATCATACGTAATTAAAGTGTGCTTTCTTAAAATAGAATGAAGTATATACAATTTTCTTACAGTAAGTAGGCCCGATAGGGAATAAAGTAAATTTGTTGAAAAATCCTGTAAAGAGATACTGTTGTTTAGAGAATATTACCAAAATCAGGCCCACTGCTTTCAAATGCAAAATAGCAAATATGAGTAGCCATGTTAAGTGCCGAAATTAGTCTAACGTACCCATGACGGTAGGTCGCTCAACCGCGCCAACACTACATCTTTCTCAGATGATAGCGCGGCCGCTTTCGCCAAGTTTCGCTTGTACTCATTCTCTCTGCGCCACTGGTCCCTTATAACAGAGAGAATGACTGGACCTATCAGCCACGCTACGCTCCATTGCATATAGCCCACTAGATACACCGCACCGACAACCGCCACCTACACAAAAAAGTAAGATAAAAACAGCTCTAGGAAATAAAAGTACAATAAATAATCAGAAATTCTTTATGTTTTATATGAGTATGTGGGTTAGTTTATTATGACGTAATGTACCTAATACATAACTTTTTAAGACATAATTTAATTAACATTCATTCTTTAATGTGCTTCCTGCTTATAAGATATTTTTGCATTTAACCATGGTAGTAAATCTTCCTCAGCTTAGAATAACTGTTACAACTGCATACTACACTACTAGCATACATGTCAGGCATTTGCATTATTCATATCTGTGTATCTGCAATTCAATTGCTTTCAACATTACTCAAGGCACTTGATGTTGGATCATACACATGGCTGAAAGCCAGTTAGAATTCCATTAAAAGAAAACAATGGTTATAAGTTAGCACAAAAACAATTAAATAAAGATATAAAAATAAATTAACTCTATACACTGACTAGAAAGAGTTAACCAGATTTGACCTTGTTGAACAGCATTAAGGTTCACTTCAATTTGATTTAAAACTATTATCAAACATTAATATTTTTTATCCTGTGGGAATATTTTCAAGGGTATGATGTCATAATTATCTATAGTTTGGTTGCTAGTTTACCACACAATTTAAATGTGATATCCAATCCTAATATTAACTGTAATTATAAATTTGAATGAAAAAGTGCGGGCGGGTGTGAGCATTTAGATTACAGAGATGTTCGATTAGAAAGGTTTTGGAATATAGAGGTCCTGCTGTACATGTATATTAAATAATATATGTTCCTGTATATTTATGAACTTATATATCATAATATGTTTATAGAACCAACCAAACCAACTGTTTACCTAATTGCAATATAAAATTCAACATAAAAATTTTACCAGTGATTTGTTTTATAAAAGAATTTGGGTTTTAAAATGGAAATTACAAAAATATTACAATACTTTAAGATTGAATTAATGCTCAGAAAATTAAAATCATATACTTACAGACCTATCAAGAAGCTTTTGTCAATAATTAGTTGAATATAAATTCATAAAAAAATCAGGCAATATTAAAAAAAAGCAAATAATCTATTAACTTTTAAATACACCTTATATTTATACCAAAATGTTAACAAAATACAAGTTGATATGGGAAGTAATTCTGAAGGTCAAATAGCCATCTAATGACTCAAGTAGCATTGGTATAGCAAGGTCAGCTTGGTACAGGGTATGCTATCATCAGTGTAGGTAAAACAAGGCATATGTAACAACTAAATGCATTGGTGCATATTCATTTGAAGTTTTCTTTTTTTACAGATTATTTCAATTCATCATTTATAGGAATTAAAAAAATATTAAGAAACAAGTCTAGTAAACATTTTATTGAGAAACTCCCTAACACAAATATTAATTTACGTCCTTTATTTTAATGTTTCGTGTTATTTGAAATGAGTTTATATTTTCATACCTTCTTGCAAATTTTGTAGATCATGGACAGGATATTAACATCTTCATCACTATTTGGTGGTAGAGCTACTTTACTGGGTGCAATCATACTGTTGCTGGTCGCCTATAAAAACAAATGAAAATGTATTTTTTTAAATACTATACAGCACCACAAATAATTAACAATCAAGCATCACAATGATAGAAGTTTAAAAACCTAACTAAAGATTACACCATCAGCTGCACTTTTTTCAGAATCTCATCATATCATCATGCAAACACAAGCTATCTAAACTTGAGTATTACTTTATCACCAAAATAACTACACTTTAAAATGAGGCATGCAAATGAGTCACTTTTATTTATAGATTAGGTATGTATAAAAGTACTGATATTATTGAGTAATCAAAGAAAATATAATACACAAAAAATATAAAACATACCATGACTTGTGCTTTAATAGGCGTGCAATTTTAACTAATTTATTTTAAAAACATACACATACGACTAACCGGGCTCACCGCATGTAAGCTAATAAGAAATTCTGAGCGTGGCGCTATGAAGTAATATTATTCATTCGTGTTCAATTTTTATTTAACAGCTTTAAACAGTAATTAAAATGTAGAAAAATATTGTATAATCTGCTTGCAGCAGTTTATTTTACTTTATTGGTAATTCAATCCAGAAGAGATAATTTATTTTTATTGCAATTTTCATCAAAACCTGAAGCGAAAAGCCGAAAATACTTTTTGAGAAAATACAAATTCATGAATTCAACAAACGTCGTGACATTGACATTTCGGTTTTGTTTACAGGTTAAGCTTTAAGTATTTTTCTACTATTTCTACCGAGCAGTTTTTCTCGTGTCTCTCTCATTAAAGGACACTGGCAAAATTTCTGTGTGAAACAGATAAAGCCACAATCACAAAAAAACGTCTTCTTCTCTATCAAGTATTAAACTACTTGACCGTCACTGAAAGCTTTATATTGAGATAGCACTTCCGTTTCCCGTCGAATTACCATCAGTTTCCGTACTTTTATTCACCTTGTATCCGGTCCAGTGGCGACACCTGGCAGAAGCGCGGCCATTTTTGTTTTCCTAAGTTTTGACAGCGCCATATTAACTCATTGGCGTTCTGACTCCCGTCGAAGCAACACGTGCTCAATCTGAGCGATCGTTGTGAGATTTTAAAGGTTTTATTATTATTAAGTGATAAATCTGTAAGTAAAACTATTTTATTTTAACGGTTTTTGCCGTTCGTGTTATTCCAAATAGGTACTTTACGTGTTAAAAGTGAAGGAACCGTAAGTAAAACTATTATTCTTTTTGATAGTTTTTGCAGCCCTTGTGATAAGGGATATTTAAAACAAATATGTTAAATTGTGCAATACCCTTGTTTAAAAAAGTTATAATAAGCCGTGAGTAAAACTTGACGGTCATTCAAGGTGCGTTTTGTTTAAAAAATTAAAGTACCTACATTAAAGTAAATTTTGCAATACTTTACGACTGTCTTGGTCGTTTGTAATAAAAACTATGTTAAGAGTGTTTTCTCTTGGTACTCAATTAATGTTTCCGTATAAGTAAGTGTGAAAGTAAATTGGTAAATGTATTACAAAATACTTAATTAAATTATTTTATAGTTTAGAGTGAAGGAACATCGGTCAATATTGACGTTTCAGCCGCCAACTGACTGGCATTAGTGGCAAAAACAGCAAGATGGTTGAATTTGTCATCTTCTGGTATAACGAAAGCGGCATCGCTGTCTCAAGAAAAGTAAACGAGCTTGATATTCCAGCCCTTTTATTAAAAGATTGTTCGAGGGGTAAGTGAACTATGTACAATCTTAATAAGGTATTTCTAATGTCGATATGCCTTTTTCTGAACATGGCCAGCTATCAATATCAAAAGGCTTATGAATAAAAAGTTCTAACATTTTTACTGACCAATACACGTAATAAAAATTCTCATGTGAGTCGTGTGACTAAACTATCCTTAAGGAACGCTCTGTTCGAAAGACATTCAACGTTTATTTTAAATGATATGCTGCTGTAAATTGAAAATTATAATCATAGTCCAGGCTTTACCAACCTGGAAACAAAGAACGAGGTAAAGAAGTAAGATGTTAATTTATGATATATCACGTTCCTGACATTAATTTTCTTTCAGCAATTGCATATTTCTAAAATAAAAATGAATCATTGCGGGAAGGCACCTGTTCAGTTAATTTTAATAACGAAAGTGATAAGATAACAGAATCGTTTCTTAGGTCTTTTACAGCTAGTGAGGGCACAAAGCTAAAAAGTAAAAACTGAAGCACTGCTTAAGAAGTTAGTGATCTCTGTGATGTAGCACCACTTAATAAGATACCATCTAATCACCCATTATGATTCAGAGCTTTTGAGATTGTTTTTCTCGTATTAAGTCAGAATTAGTCATGGATTCAACTCACGCAGAGGCAAGTGATACTCATAAGCTTCATCTCATGAAGCCCAAGGCGTGTCAGGACATGCCCTCCCATGGCGTACCGACACATATGAGTACCGGTGGCAAATCACCCTCGCAGGGTGCATATTATATATAATTTGTTTCCACTACGTGGAATCTTATAAAATGCGTCAAATGCCTTGCCTACATATACGAGTACCGGAAGCAAATCACCCTCGCGGGGTGCATATTATATACAATTTGTTTCCACTACGTGGAACCTTATGAAATGCTTCTAATGCCTTGCCTACATATACGAGTACCGGCAGCAAATCACCCTCGCGGGGTGCATATTATATACAATTTGTTTCCACTACGTGGAACCTTATGAAATGCTTCTAATGCCTTGCCTACATATACGAGTACCGGCAGCAAATCACCCTCGCGGGGTGCATATTATATACAATTTGTTTCCACTACGTGGAACCTTATGAAATGACTCTAATGTCTTGCCTACATATACGAGTAACGGTAGCAAACCACCCTCGCAGGGTGCATATTACCAAAACTCTAATGACCGCCCCTCGCGGGGGCATATTATGTATAATTTGCTTCCACCGTATGGAACTCATTATGAATAAAGACATGCCTTCCATGGCTTGCCTACACATACAAGTATCGGTAACAAAATATCGTTGATGGAGGAATATCCTCATCAATCTTATAATCGACCTTGTGGGGTCATATCACACATAATATTATTATTTCCATTACGTGAAGCTCAATATATGTTTTCCTTAGAACATGTTCGCTTATGTAGTGTGAGTTCGTACTATTATGTAAGCACCGGTAACATACGACACTCGAGTGGAGCAAATTATGCATAATTTAACATATAGTCTATTCGTGATTCATAATTTTTTTTTGTGACCATGGGGTCTGTAAAAGTGTAAACGATTCGAAACATTAAAAAAAAAAAAGTAAATTGAAAATATAATAAATGTCGCTTGACATAATTCATTACTTCCATCGCGTGGAAATCCATACATCGACGCAACGCAGCATACCCCGCTCATGGTTTGCGTACACATATAAGTATCGGCTATAAACTACCCTCTTAATAGACTATAAAGATCGAACATCGAATGTTGACGTACCCCGTTGGGAAGTGCAATATACGTGGTTTTAAAGGTGTCGCATACGCAGGTCTTGGGTTCACCCCGGTGGGGCAAATCATTGTATGATTAAAACAAGCATCTGTGCCTAAGTCTTGGTTGTTAACAAATATTAACTCAAAATCATATCAATCTATGCATCATCATTATGCATTTCTATGCGTTAGCCCATAACACAAGTCTTTCAATGCCTATTATGAGGCTAGGTTAATTGGTGTGAAGTGTTGACTCGATCACTACGGTTGTTCTACCGTAATATAGTTATCGAGGACGTGCTGTAACACATTTCAAAAGAAAAAGGAATATCGAAACAATTAATGTTTGAAAAAATTTAGTACAGGACAGTTGATAAATTGGTTGCACCACAAATAATTCTTAAATAAATTTAATGGTGTCGCATGCCATTCAAAAGCTTGTTTATCTAAATCCAATATATATCAAGCTCCAATCTCAAGTGCAGTACACTATAACTATGTAAAGAATTCTAAGTTTTCTGCAATTTAAGGACTATCTGCCAGATAGATAGATGATAACATATTTTCTCTTGAAAATAACAAAAGTAAACCAAATGGGTTGCTCACTCTTTTGATCGGGTAATGAGAGAAACTTCCAATATTAGAAATGTCGTGTATGAGGTGTCCGAGGTGGCCAACATGATCATTTTGATATATAAGTGGTGCCATGTACTGAAGAAAAATTGCACGATCTACCTAATTCTTGAAAGGTTTTGAAGATCATTGTATGCAATTATCCACTTTATGTTATTTTTAGTAAAAAATACTGAAAACTGTTCTTAATATTAAACTTACGCTTTCTAACCTTGCCACGACTGTCTGGAATAAATATACTTCAAACCCTACGCATACTACATGCACACTTCATGTAAGCTGTGTAAATCTTATAAATAACTAAATCTTTATTTAGTATTAAGTAATACATATAAATGACTCAGATCTAAGAACTGAAAAACAAAAGGAAAAATTACAATCAATTATAGATTCCAGGATGGCAAATGAATTTCATAAAATCTGGTCTGAACTTCGTAATAGCATAATTTATCACGGCAACCCTGCAACAATATAAAAACTATACCTGAGAATTTCGTTGTAAAAACGTAAAACTTCAGAAGTTGATCGGTTTCAACATGTTTGTCATTCCGTGGGGTTGTATCAACCACTCCCTACTTCTAACAATAGTTATAAATTCATTGCAATCGACCTTGCAATCACTTCCTGCCAATCTAATATGAAAGCTTGGCAAGTATAGTTGAAGAATACGGCTCTACCACTTACTTCACTTCAATCTCCACTCCAATCAAATAGATATGCTAGCACTACGCTTTTTATCATATTCTACAAAGAGCGACAGCTCTGTTTTAAACAGCTATGAGATGGCTCGGAAACGCTGGCTTGCGTGGTTGCATTGGTCTAGGAACAAGAATGTTTATCGGAATAATCCCGCAGGTTGTGGACTCTGCTCTGAGCTAACACGATTTGAGACTTATTTTAACACGTGACTTATCTCAAAATAAGTACCATTATTCTAAATAAGTCGGTAGTTTTTACATGATATACCAATGGATGATAAGTCTAATTACCTAAGCTCACCTGTCTTGGCAAACACATAATAATATATTGAAGTCGATTGTTTTAAAGAATCATTTCCTTTTCTTCAATAATGTACTCATCATAATGATCTGTTTCAAATACCTCGTCATACTAGTTGTTGTTCTGAACGTCATACAGTAATTATGCTGCGTATTATTTGGTTCAGCATGTGGTACACATGACTTGTTCCTACTTCAAATTATTCCGAATCATTGTATTTGTACCGACGAAGATTAGTTTTAGCCTTGTTTTGGTTCAAAACAGGTGAAAGTAGTTAAAGACAATCCGATTGGTGACTTGTATCGAATAATGGTAATCGTAAGTGGGACCCTGATTTTTGGTACTTAAGTAAAAAGTACAGTATTGTAAAATGTAAGACTCAGTATCGAACAACTTTACATCTTTTTCTCGCATTCGTACGCCTTCTTTGTGATATACAAAGATACAAATGAATGCTACACAGGGAAGCGTCCGGTCATTA